ATCAGTTTGTGTAGCCAGTGATACCCGATGAAGTGATGTGGCCTTTGACTCTCAGCCAGATTAAGTGACTGCCTTTGATTTAGCCTGAAGGAGCAGGTGTCATGTTTACAGCTGGGTTGAATGGGGGCTACTTTCAGCATAGTCTGGAACAAGGCTTAAAAATTGCACCTTTGCAGTCAAAAAGAGATTTTCTTAACTACTCTGTACACCCAGGTAGGATGTTGTAGTATAGCTTTTATTTTACTGTTTCCAAGTATGGGGCACCTTTGATTCTGTCATGGTAACCAACTTAAGGGCAGCTGGAGACCAGAGACTTTTCCAAAACAGCATTGTCAGACCAGGTCTGACTTCAGTTCAGCATTTGCAATTAACCTTTTTCTCTAGGATGTCCAAAGTTATCTGGTGACTAGCCAGTTTTTCTTAAAGTATTATTTATTCATCCATAACCAGTAAACAACTTCTATGCATATCTAGCTTACCTACTTGCTGCATGAAAAAGGTTTGTGTTACCAAGACAATTCTCAGATCATAGCACTAAATTAAAGTCATGACGCTTGCATTGGGTGTTACAGCAAAGTGGGTACGCTGTTGGCCCAAACTGAAATCCCTGTTGGAAAGATTTCTTATCTAGTAGCTATCTGTTTACAAATAAAATGCTAAATCAGGTATCTGGTTTCCACTCTGCTGCTCCTTATTCTCAGTGAGAAACGAGTCATACCTAAAACCTTTAAGTAACTGTGGGAATGGAGTGTGAGTTCAGACTGTTGCTTAAAGTCACTGCATTCATGAAATGAAGTAATTGTTCTTAGATACTAAGTAAATCGGGTTAGAAAATGAAGGGAATCTTTTTGAGGATACAACATCAGTTACATATCATTTTTACATTCTATACAGAGGAAAAGATAAACATAAGGGTGGTAAAAAAGGGCTCTATCATTAGATTACATTCTGGAAAGTTTACTTAGCATTACAGATGATAGGATTGATTAAAAAAAATCATTACATGTTGCTGTAATTACATTTTGCTTTGCGGTTTTGATGATAATATACTAAAATCTTTTTTTCAGATGAAAGAAGCTGATGAAAGTGCAGGGTCTGGCGATGGTCCAACAAAATCAGTACGTAAAAGAAGAGTACGGAAGGACTGAGTTATATCCAACTAGTATTTTTATCTCTTGATTATAAAAATGTTTGGTATGCCACTTTGGTGTGCCTGACAGTGTGCGGTTTGCTGAGATTCCGGGGTGGGGGGGAAATTGGACTCATCACTACTTAGCCTCCTCCTTTCATACTCCAGCCTCTTTAATCCTTCCAACCTTTCCTTAATTCTCTTTAAGGAGAAATGCTGTATGTGAAGAGTTAGCTGGTATGTTGAATTTAGAATAAAAGTAAATTTGCGAGGTGACTATCTGATTTAAAAGATGAATATTCTTAGAAATTAGTTTAATAGTGGTTGGAGGTAATTTTGGCTGTAAACATTTTTTTAAAACACATAGTAAACTGTAATATTTTTGCAGCTCTAGCACAAATTGGCTGCTTACACTTCAGCTAGAACGGGACAGTTAACACAGATGTAGCATCACTGGTAATTCACAGCTCTAAAAAATGGCCAGGCAGACTTTTTTCTGTGCAGAACCTAACTGCAATAAAGTTGTTTTTGTATGATAACTGTTTAGTGCTAGAAACATTTTATTGTAAATGATCTGTCTTTTAGTTAGTATTGTTTTGGTCACATTCACTGTAGACCTTTGTTACAGTAATTTATTTTAAAGGGGTGCTTTTAAAATAGAGCATACATAGAACAACTGAATAAGTGTGGCATGTCTTTATATTTGAATGCAAAGATGTCAAATCTACAGAAGTAGTAGTGTACAGGTGACATTTTCAGACTTTTATAGTTTTCATGTTCCAAGCCAGAATGGCCTGACCTCTGTTTACAAAATATTTGCTAAATGTACATTGCCTCTTACATAAGATATTTAATAATTTCTGCTTAACATGAAATTTATTACAAATAAGATTTTTGATGGGTTCAGTTTTTTACAGTCATAAGTAACTGGGCATTAATTTGCATAATAGTATCTAAATAAACAGCATACTGCAAGAGAGACTGTATTTGCTTCAGCCCTATACTCTAAAATCAAAACTTACTTGTAACATCTTGCTGCTTTGGAGCCACTGGCAGCAAACATGGATGGAAAATATTAATAGGTATCTTTCTACATGATAAAAACAAGTGGAAAACACCTCTAATTGTTGCACAAAGAAAACAAAGATTTCCCATAAAATCTGGCATGAAGGAAATGAAAAGGGAAAATCTCCAAGCAAAAAGCCTTCATCAAATCAGGTTTTTGAGTACAAAGTTTCCCTGCTGGTGCTGTTTAAACTGCTAGTATTTTTGGATCCCAAGTTCATTCCAAACAGAGCATCTTGCAGGCACTCATCAGGAGGCTCCATCAGCCATAGCCTTATTGAAGCACTTGGGTTTAAGTGTTTTGAAGTTGTTTGGATAGAGCTTTAGATTTTTCTGATTAGAAAAGATGTAGGTTGGAGGTATCAAGGGAGGACCCAAGGGCCAGATTCTATTCCACCTAAAAAGTTAATGCAAAAAGGTGGGTGGGTGGTCCTCTTCTTCACTGCCTCAGTCTTAAAGGCAAGATGAGGGTGTGTTACAGGAGATGCTTTAATGGATATTTAGGGGCTTGAACAGGGTTGAATAGAATTGCAATTTAGCACCTATTTTATCTGTTTAGACATCCAATAAGTAGAATGGAATCTGAGCTCAGTAGTCTTTTGTGGACTCTTACTGAAGGATTGTTGCATAGTAAAGGCATAAGGGAGGTCTCCACATTTTCCTTGCTTGGCATAGGGGGCTGGTAATCCTGGGTGTGGACATACAGTCCCTGTAGCAACTGCTGGTTCTCTGAGCTATCAAGAAACACTTCTGCTTTTAACTGATCCTGTTCTGCCTCACATGGTGCAACTGGAACCCTTTTTACATTGAGGCACATACCTACATTCTGGCTGATGCTGGTATTCCTTGTATTAGTGGTTCAAATGTAAGCAGTACCAGTGGTTCCTAACACGTTATCACATAAGGCTCCAATATCACTGGTATAATTTCAGTTGCCTTTAGGGGAACAGCATGAGCACAAGGGTTAAATTTCTGATGGTTTTAGAGAAAGTGTAATGGTTGCTCTTTCCTAGGAAGAGTTGCAGCATACATCCTTGGACCGATACTCTTTAATGTCTTCATCAGTGACTTGGACGAGGGAGTGAAATGTACTCTGTCCAAGTTTGCAGATGACACAAAGCTATGGGGAGATGTGGACACGCCGGAGGGCAGGGAACAGCTGCAAGCAGATCTGGACAGGTTGGACAAGTGGGCAGAAAACAACAGAATGCAGTTCAACAAGGAGAAATGCAAAGTGCTGCACCTAGGGAGGAAAAATGTCCAGCACACCTACAGCCTAGGGAATGACCTGCTGGGAGGCACGGAAGTGGAAAGGGATCTTGGAGTCCTAGTGGACTCCAAGATGAACATGAGTCGCCAGTGTGACAAAGCCATCAGAAAAGCCAATGGCACTTTATCGTGCATCAGCAGATGCATGACAAATAGGTCCAAGGAGGTGATACTTCCCCTCTATCGGGCGCTGGTCAGACTGCAGTTGGAGTACTGTGTGCAATTCTGGGCGCCGCACTTCAAGAGGGATGCGGATAACCTGGAGAGGGTCCAGAGAAGGGCCACTCGTATGGTTAAGGGCCTACAGACCAAGCCTTACGAGGAGAGACTAGAGAAACTGGATCTCTTCAGCCTCCGCAAGAGAAGGTTGAGAGGCAACCTTGTGGCTGCCTATAAGTTCATCACGGGGGCACAGAAGGGAATTGGTGAGTATTTATTCACCAAGGCGCCCCCGGGGGTTACAAGAAATAATGGCCACAAGCTAGCAGAGAGAAGATTTAGATTGGACATTAGGAAGATCCTGCTGATGCAGGGGGTCGGACTCAATGATCTGTTGAGGTCCCTTCCAACCCTAACACCTATGAATCCCTCTGCCCAGTCTCTGTTCAGTATCCCTGCTTCTTCCCTCTCACAGAAACATCAACTTCAGAGATTTGGCTCTGATAAAGAAGGCCACAGAGCGGGGTTCACAAAGGTCTAATTCAGTATGGCAATTCCTCTTTCTGCACACCATTTAGCAACACCAGTTACACCTGTTCTGTTGGAGGCTGTACCACTTCCTTCAAAGTGCCCTGTAGTTAAAGAACCTATGGCAAAGAAGCCTCTTATTAAAAAGGTCCATTAAATATGCAAGTTAAATGATTGAGAGTTCCCAAAATTATCTGGAAGTCTCTAAATAGTAATAAGGGTCTTGTTCAAAGGCCTAGGACAACAAAGTGTGTATTACTTCTCTTTACAGGATTGTAAGCTTCCCTGATGCAAAAAGCCTTCTTGATAGCTCACAACTGAGCCAGTTTATCCAGATACTTTATGAAGACCCAATTAGCATGGAGAAACATTTTAAAACAGGCAGAATGCCCCAAGAGGCCATTTCAGAAATTCAAAATCATCAAATAGACTTAATCACCCTTTCCAAGATTGATCCACTACAGCCTCTTTGGTGCAAGGCACAATCATCTGAGTACTCTTGCCCAAAACACTCACACACAGAGATGCCTGGGTTACAAGAACACTAATTGTGTTGCCAAGACTCTTCTCATTCAGATAGAGAGACTTACAGAAATACAGGTCAGGGACATGAAACATTTTACTTTAAACTAATCAGGGCCCAAAATACATGCAACCAAGCAATGTACTGGAAAATTCTCAGAACTGGGAATATCAGCATTTGGTATCCATAACTACTATTTCAGTAATAATCTTAATTTATGTAGAACTATTCAAGTGTCCTCATCTTCCCCCCCCCTTGGAATATATAGTAGATATAGTGGTGAACTGTTTTAGTATGTTTTAAAGATGCCAAAATAAACCAAGTAAGACCAATCAAAAGCTTTTATTTAGTGTAAAGTCAGAAATACAAGTTTTAAAATGTTCATAAATTAAACAAAGGCCACAGTGAGATGCAAAATGTTTACAGCTGGTTGAAATGACTACTACTATATACATATGGCTAAAATATCACTATCAGGGTTAACAATACAAAAATGGTTTTGAGATTACTTGATTTTTTTTTTTTTTTTTTTTTTTTTAGGAGAGTAGCTCAAGTCTAACAACGGAATGCCCCATTACCATTTGGCAATGGTGGATATCTTCTACTATGCAAATTGGTAATGTACTGACATGGCTTTTAAGTGAAAGGAGCAAAACTTAATAGCTGCTTTTGTTTTTGTTTAAAAAAAAAAACAAACCTCAAATGAATATCATGGGTGTTGTTTTATACCCAAACATTGGACAGGTAGGCCATTAGCCAGATTAATCCCTACTTACTACCAGTATTTGGGAGTGTTTGCAAAGTTTTGAATAGGTAAGAGGAGGATAAATTAAATTTATATGATACTTATATTATAGGTGTATGCGACACAATCCTATAAACAATTGGGCAGGTTAGGTCCTATCCACTATACATTTATCTGTTTTTTGTAATAGGGTCAGAGTACACTGTTTCTTAATTATGAACAGGACTCAAGAGACAAATGTTTTACTATTGAATAACCTGCTTACTGCAATCTGTGCATCTGAGCTGCAATAAATAAGTAGTGAAGTAACTTTTAAATACACTTTTGGATGGGAAAGGTTAGAGCCTTGTCTCATTCAAAAAAATCTAGCTCATGAGTAGTTCTATGCCACTACAGTGCTGCTGTTCAAGTCTAGTTTTTAGCTATCAAGGAATCTCAAACTTTTGAGTAGTTTTAATTCTTTACCATTACATCCACTCACCCAATCAGAATTCCTTTGTTTTTTCTTTCCCCACTTCAATTTACAGAATTTAGTACAGCAGTGATAAAATGTAGCCTTCACAATTAAGCCCTTTTACTGCTTAACAAGAGAAACCTTTAAGACTGTCTAGGTAACATCAATAAAAATACAAGAAATCAACTGGCTTGCTATGCTAGCAGATGAGAATAATGCAAATCGCAACGCTGATAATATGTAGTATTACCACTTTTGCAGTTTTGTGTTTTCACTCTTAATACTGAGCTACAGTGGAAATGTTTTTGCCATTAATTCACTGACTTACAGTTCTAAGAACAAAGCATTTAACACAACTGTACATAGAAACCGCTGCTGATATATTTTAACTACTCAGTTTGCTAGAAACCATTTAGTTCTGGCTTCAGTTCAATTTTAGTCCAAACAGGGCTTTAGAAAAGTAATTAGTTTCAAACTGATGACTTAAAAGTTGGATACTTATTAAATTGGGAGGCGAGTCAGAAAGTGTTTTTATAATATAGCTATAGTACTCTTGTCTTCAAAGGGTTTTTACAAATATTAATTGGTATGTAATACCTCTACCTTTAAATATGGGAGCTGACTTGGATATTAAGTTGCTTGCTCTAGTCAGAGCTAGACTATTTCTGGCTGTAGCCACAGTTGAGAACTTATCTACACAGGACCAATATCCACTATTTTCTACTGCCATAAATGGTCTCCACCATGTGTTACAAATGCCAATTTCTACCCCTTCCTAGTAGCATGAAAGTACACCAGGGCAGGAATTGGAAGTTGCCATAGAGACATAGAAGCCAGTGAAAAGAAAGTGATCAGGCACCAGCCAATCACTTCTAGCTCTGGCAATCTGCCCCAGTGTCGTAACAGAAGTAGCAGCTAGAAGGCAAGAAGTACAGAGAAATCTGGCACTTCAGAGGATGGGTAAAGAGCAGGAGCTGAAGAAAGGTTTGATCTTCAGTTCCTCAGTGCAAATTCTTCCAGAAGAGTAAGATGAACTATTGTTCAAAGTGTGAGCAGATTTTTCTACCAAGCTTACTATTCAAAGTATTTTCATGATCCTTTAATACTTAACTCAAATATAAACTTTTTAAAGACCAGACACGGTGGTGCAGTCCTTGACACTTCTTTGGGATACAGAGAACTGGGGAAGAGAAACTGGTTTGAAATGTAGAAACCATATTACACATGGTAAAGAGTTTGTTTTATCACAGTAATGCAGCATTCACAAAACAAAACAAAAATGTTGCATTTTACTAACTGGGCTCAATGTTTTCAGCCTAACAAAAATCTACGTAAACTACCAGAACCACAAACCCTGCAAAGTAAAGGTCGTGTCTTTATTTATTCACAGAGAACCTTATTGTGTTTAAAATAAAAACAAACCAACAAAAAATACACACACCATACTTTTTGTTCTCCCTAAGAGGGATATGGATAGCATCATAAAATGTTCGCTAAAACTTGTTTTTTCTGAGATGAAGTAAAGGTGGTGCAAAGTAGGTTTAAGAATTCGTTTGGAATATGGTTTCAGTACCATTTTATACAACAGTGCATTATTTTGCTAGTCAAGAACAGTACCCTAAAACTGTCGAGGCAGCTGACAGACAGGTTTGCTTCACCTGACTAAAACTGGATTCAGTTAACAAGACATGCTCATTGCTGATTTCTGAAACATAAATATGCAAGTCTAGTTATAAAGTCTCTACACTACATCTGCACATTGTTCAAAGTCTAACACCACACAAACTCATGTCTCCGGTTTATGATAATGTTCTTAATTCTGCCTATCACTGCAGTTAATCTTCATATACCCAAGAAAGCCACACACTAAGGTATTTTAGCTCATGTAGCCTATGCCAATTAAAACAAAAAACAGCCGCAATACAGTGCCACCACTTGGGAACCAACCCCTTACTTCCGTTTGCTTTTTGTGTCAGTTGTCTGAAAAACGCTAGATGCAGACATAAGATTTTCTATATACTGTCCAAGAACTTGATTTTCTGATTTCAGTTTCAAGTTTTCTTCTTTAACAGCATCTACTCGTGCTGATAGGTCTAAAGAAAAACACAAATATTGGTTATTTAAAACAACTGAGCCATTTGATGCATCTAAATCAAATTACTTGAGTTTTTACTGTAGGCAAACAGGGCTGCATGACAGCACCATGTAAAATAGCACTGCCTGAAGAACGTCACCCAACCTTTTTCTAAATGAAGCTGTGTTAACACCCCATCCCCCTTCCAGAAGCTTGTTTCCTGACTTCCCTGCTCTGTACACTTAACTGCATGCAAGTCACCATCCTTCTGCCTGCTGACATGGTTATGTTATTACACTCATTCATTGCACAGGAGTCCATTAACCATTCATGTGCTCAGCTACTGCAGAATGCAGCTACGGGAAGCTGCAGAATTTCAAGCACCCACAGGCTCACGGACAAGCTCTTACTGGCAAGGAAATTAACAAGGCAGCAGGTCCACCTTGAGCATTTTGGGTAAAATTTGGATGCATAGCAAGAAACCAGTAGGCCAGATCCTAATAGCAAGCACAGAAGCATTTTCTCCCGAGCCCTTCAATCATATAGCAGCACAACCCGCTACTTGTTTATGCAACTCAGACTTCAGGCGGGTAGAGTCTCTACCAGCCGCATTTGGCACTGTGCTCCTGAACAGCAAGGGGAAGGATCCCACAGACCCGGGAGAGGAGCCAGAAGCCACTTCCCTTCCAGAGTGTGCTGCAGCTCCAGGACCTGGTTGATTAGCCGGGTTTTCTCTTCCAGTTCCACTTGGTTTTCAGCCTCCACAGCTGGAAGAAACCAAAACACGCACAGCTAGACAGGCCCCCCGTCCCCGCACAGCTGCGCGTCCTCCCGGCAGGGCCCAGGCACAAGGGGGTAGGGGAAACAAAGCAGCGAAGGCCTCCTTACCGTCCATGTCCGCGTTCATTACGGCGGGCCGGGGGCTGGCGGCTCGGCCGCGCGCGGCTGCGGGCACGGGTGGCTCTGCGGGGACAGCAAAGCAGGTCAGGGCGGGGCGGGGGCCACCCGAGTATCCCGGCATGAGCGGGTGGCTCCCGCGGCCCCTCCGGCTTTACCTGGCGGCGCTGCTCCGCGGGCGGGCTGTAGTCCCCAACGCCCCAGCTGCTACCCCTCGTCACGATTGCGCCCCCGCCCCCCACTGCGCCTGCGCAGCGCGCCCCTGGCCGGCGCCGCGCTCGCCCGGCACAAACACCCGGCAACTCGCGGGGGGGACTGAGTGACCGGTCCGTGCAGGGGGGGCGGGGCGCTGTGGAGGAACAGCCAATGAACGAAGGGAGTCAGCCGCTGGTGCTGACGTACGCTCCGGCTCTGCTTGATTGGCCAAGCGGGCTCGCACTGAAGCCTGGAGAGGGGGCGCTGTCTCGCGCGTGGCCCCGCCCCTGCGTACGCGGGCGGTGGCTGTCACGTGTTGTGCTGCGTCACCGAACAGTCAACCGCCGGGCCAACGGCTCTCCAGGGGGGAGGGGAGTGTGTTATGTGTTCAGCCCTCCCTTCCCCCTCCCGCGCGGAGTAGGTGCAAGCAGGCTCAACCTGGCACAGCTTGGGGATGTGGTACCGTAATTACGCGCATACACACGCGCCACGAGACCACGCACAGCTTATTTCTGACAGGCAGAAGGGAGGGAAAAGCTATTTCTTTGCAGTGGGCAGCAGCCAGGGAGCCCGGCCTGCTCTTTGTTCTGCTCCTCCTGGGGCTGCCTCCTGGCAGCCAGTTTCTGTTGGTTTCAGCGCAAAGTAGCTGCCTCTGGCATCTAAACTCAGGCCCATTTCCCAGCTGCTGCTTTTGGGGCAAAGGTGTGTGTTTTGAATAGGTAAGAGGAGGATAAATTAAATTTATATGATACCTGTTTTATAGGTGTATGCAACTCAATCCTATAAATGAGCTAAACAATTGGCCAGGTTAGGTCCTATCCACTATACACTTAGGTGTGTGTGGGAGGTGAAGAAATACGGTACCTGCCGTCTAAAAGAGGGGTGGGCAACTCATCCAGCCCCACAGACTGCAGTGTGGTAGGCGGCCAGGCCATACCGGGCCCACGGGTCAGCCCCACGGCTACTACCGCCACAGGGCTGCATAGTGCAGCACCACAGCCGCTGCCACTGGGCCGTGTAGCATGGCTGCAGAGCCACCACTGCTGCTAGGTTGTGTGGCACAGCCCTAGAGCTGCTGCCGCTAGGGACACTAGGGGACCTGCAAGGTGGACCCAGAGGGGTGCACAGATTCAGTTTCCTACTCCACCCAAAGTGTAACACTCAACTGCCGGGCAGCGGCAGCAGCACTTCTCTTCGGGCAGTGCTGTGGCGGTCCATTCATGGCTCGCTATAACCTGCCCAAATCCTTCGAAACCGTTCATTCAATGGGTGCTAACAACCTTTGCTCCTTTTTAATGGTCCGCTAATCAAGCTAGCCTTTCTTCCGCCATTCTTCAGTCCATTAGCTGGTCCTGGTAACATAGCTCTTATTTCACAGCCCTGCAGACTGTTTTTAAACTCATTCTAATGTTACCTTTGTTTTTGCATCAATCTAAACAGTCACGTGCCCCTAGCATATTAGGAAGGCTCCTAGTTTCTTTTTACCTGGGGAAAAGTATGTGTTGTGTTATATGTGACGATAAACCTTACCACGTGTGCCCCCTTTTTTCAAAATCCTGGATCTGCCCATAGAGGCTTGTGCTGAGACTGCTGGTTAGGTGCCTCATTTTCTGCCTGAATAAGGATCCCTGCAGTCTTGATCGCCAATTTCAAACCACTGGAGGTTTTTTGTAACTTCTTAGCCTGTCTGTTGCTTGTTTCTTAGTACGTACATTGTTTCTGCTTGGTTTTGTGTGCTTCCTTTATGCCTGGGAGCATGGGCGATAGTGCTGTACTCAGTACTATATTTACAGTTGCTTTGATGATTGGCACTAGCAAGTATTAAACCTAAAAGTAACGGTTTGCAAAAAGAGCCCTTTTAACCTCTGTTTGAAACTCTTAGGGGAGTGATTTTTCATTCATGTCTGCCTAGGATGCTTTAGTCTTGGGTAATTTCTGAGATATCCAAATCTTTGTTTTTCTAATTAAAAAATGAAAACTGCTGTTGGGTGCTTGCCTCTTGGATAGTGTGCTGCTCTTACCCACAATGTACCTCAGTCTGAATTCTGTCCTAGGGCTGATTTAGTTGGCACCAGAGGAATCCAGCAGTAGATGGAAATCCTCAGGTGGCGGAGAGCCACTGTAGGAAGTGACAGCTCTCCCAAGTGATCAACTGCTTCGGCATTATGGCAAGAGGATGGACAAGGATATCCTATGTTCCAGTGATCCTCAGGTAATAGAAAAGGCCTCAAAACTGTTGTCATATAGTATGAATTATGTCAGCCTCCTTGCTGCTCAAATTTATTTGCAACTGACCCAGTCACTGTATCACACCAAAACTGGAGGAGTATAAGTTTGACTTAAAGCCATATTTGCAGTGCTTCCTAAGCAGTGTGATGTGGATCAGGATCTGCAATAAAGGTAGTGTGTTGTTTGACTTGCTCATTGGTAGACTGCGGTGAGGCTTGTGTAAGATTACTGTTTTTGCAGTGTTTGCACAGTGTTTCAAAGGCTTTATGAAGCCCCCATAACTATTTGGTATGTGACATGGTAATGCTGCATTGTGGTGAACTGGTCTCAGTCAGGCTCCTTCCTCAGTTCTGCCAATAAAGTAAGGGTGAAAGAATAAAGGATGGAGCAAGAGTGACCTCTAGTGTCTAGTTAAACTAAGCAGATGCCTTTCCTTTTAAATACATTCAGGAAAATTCTTTCTATTTGCATTCGGATATGTTCCTCTGGTTAAGCTACAGCCCGCACAATTACTTAACATACTATCCATTCAGAAATAGAAATGCCACATAATTGAAGCTAGTAGTTAAGGCCTGACTGCTTGTAATCAGTATCCTCTGTGTATTAAGTAAAATTGAAATGATATTGTAGCTCTAATGGTGCAGGAAAAATATGAGAGGCAAGGATTTTTGTGGATGACAGCTTTTAGTTGGACCAACTGTATAGTTGAGAGGGATACAGATAAGCTTTGGGGTATGAAGGGAGACCTGAAGAAAAATCCTTGTCTTTTGCGTTCCTTGTAATCAGTGCAACATGCTGTAGTAAAGTAAGTTTTAATTCCAAGTTTACAGTGTTATTACTAGTATGTATCATAGCCACAAAACCAGACAAAGTCAAATATTATATGTTGAAGAGGCCCAAGTTAATTATTATTTCTTTTTGTCCTCTAGACTCCCTACAGATTCCATCTAAGAGCACTGTGTGTGTGTGTGTGTGTGTGTGCGCGCGCATGTGCACACATGTATTCACTTTTTTGAGAAATGTGCATTTCTATTCTGTTTATGCCTTGGCACACATGTCACTATGCTCTGTTGATCAATGACTTCTCAGTGCTGGGCTATTACCTCCCAAGCAATAGTTCATGTAAGCATGAGCAGGTTACTCAATGCATGAAAGGATTTGTTCCTCCCACCCTCATTGCCCAAATACTGTAATTAGAATTGTTGCAAGCTGTTTCCCTTCAGGAAAAGCCTGTTTTAAACTGTCATTCTCTCAAATTCTTGCAAAAAGGCTTTTATCTGTCACTTTAGAACTGGTCAGGGTCACCCCTTCATTTGGCTCATTAGTGCTGCCCGCAGGAAAACCAGCAACGTAGCCCATCTCTCCCATGTTTAATAGAATTCTTCTAGGCTCACAAACATGGGCATGTATGTGTACAAATGGAGTTTTCTTACCATGTATATTCTATACAGATTTTGAACTGAGGAGGTGCTCTTCATTACTGTAGTTTCCCTCTCCCATTGTTCACTGTTTTAAGACGGAGAGCTCTGGAGCCTGCCAGGCTAGGGACAGGCATTACACACAAACTGGTTTAAGTGATCAGAAACTGGTTGAAACCTGTAACATTCAGTGCATGTAAACCAGTTGCAAAATTGCCAAATCCAGTTTGAGATAAACCTGGTTGAATGTAGCATCGGACTTAACTGATTTGGCTCAAACCAGTTTATGCAATATCTGTTCCAGACCCCTGTGTCCTTCCTTAGTCAGCAGTGATGGTTTGGTTGAATGAAATGAGGTGCTGCCCTGCCTTCCATTCCGGGCCCTTCAGCCGCTGAGCAAAATGTAGAACACCCTCATTTCCCATTTAAATGAATGGGAACTGAAAGCATTCATCTCTTTACAAGCCTCAGAGCTGTGAGGAGCCTGGGGTGAGAATCAAGATTTTACCCAGGCTTCTCTACAAATTATAGCGATCTTTGGCACAGTAAAACCATGAGACCTCACAGTTAGTTTCAGAAATAAAGTCTATCTTAACAATAATCATTCCACTTTTATGATTACAAGTATACACATGCAACACAAAGGAGAACAATAGGGAAGACTGCTTAATCTAATTGCTACTCCTATTTTGTAGAAACTTATTGTTGGCTCACAAAATTAGCTGCAGTTGTATAGTTTTGGTTTTATGTTTTGTTTTGTTTTCTAAAGATGGAGTGGGTGTCTTGCTTGGTGTAAACTTCTCCTAGGTTTGAATATAATTGATTGTAACAATGTATGTCCTTAGATTGTAAAGTCTTTTCTTTTCTGGAGCAGTCAGTTGTTGCAATTATGATTTTTTTATTTTGGGTAAAGCTGGATTGGAGGTTCTGACAGGGTTTTCAGTTGATTGTAAGGGAATGTTTACAGGGGTCTTTTACTTTGCTCAGTTTGGGTGAGGATGTTTTCAAGTGCCTCTTTTTGATACTTACTGCCTTAGCCGTTGGAGAGAAATAAGGTGTTTTATCCTACTGAAGGTTTAAACTTCCCTTCCCTCCCTTCTTTATGCAGTTGCCTAGTTTTGAGGATTCAGCTGTTAGTAACCCAGATGATACAAAAGGCAACTCAATAGTTCTTGATATTGTAAATGCTTAAGGATCCATAGAGAGTTGGATAAATAGTTCCTG